AAAAAAAAAAAAAGAAAATCACAGATGTAATGCCATGCTCTTTCAACCCTCGGCAGCGAGAATTTCCTTCAGCGGGATGAAGAGCTGAACACGAGTCTGAAGCGCTTTTTCGTTACACTCACATTGGCTCTGAAGACATGTTCCAAAGAAATGTCTGTGTTAAACAAGGACATTACATTAGTACATTACATACAAATAGTATTTACAGGGACTCACAGTGTCCATGCTAGGGATGAAACTGTTTACGGTGGATGGCTAAACGGTGATAAAATTGCAACTCTAAATTATCCTCATTGTTATCGTTAATGTGCTGAGCTGAGCTGTGCGCGGCCCTTGCTGTGGGCAGAAAGAACAAGGTAGTGACAAAGAGCGGGCTATACATTTTACATAAAAAGGTGGGTCAAAAGAGAAAACACAATCATTGTCTGTCCATTCATTCCTGTGGTGGTGTTTGGGGAACGGTGAGTTATCGCTGAAGTGCAAGTCAGCCCTCGGGTAGCAGACAACGCTTTGTCTTGGAGTCTCAAGTACAAACAGTTATCAGATGGGTAAATTGCGCGAGGTGACCAAAAGTCCTTTAAAAGAGCCAATCAAGTAGAGCCAATTTGAATTCATGAGTTATAGGTTTGTAACTATTGTCTGCTTGAAATTCAGATTCAATTGCACTTATATTAAAATTGGCATGACTAATCTGTATCGAGTAGCCGTAGTGTGCATAACTTTGGTGTTCATGTTCACTAAAACATTTATCAAATATTTCTATTTGATTAAGGGAAATAATGTAGCCTCCAATTAGATTGGGGAGTCCCACCACCATTAAATTTGTCATCATAGCCATTGTTAAGTATTTTGGGGGGTGTGCGAAAATTCCAGAAAATTCCCTTTGGTTACAGCAGTTTACAAGTTATAATGCTAGAAAGTACACAGGGTTTACCAATTTAATATTTTTTTGTATTCAAAATAAAACTAATATTTTTATAAGGTTTCTGGAGCGTGCATCTGAGATTTTTCTCTTTCGCCCAAAATAAGCTGGAAAAGGCTACAGCTCACCCTAGCGACCCTAGTGAGGACAAGTGGCAGAGAAAATGGATGGATGGATATCATAATACCGACAATGGCGATGTGAAATTTTCACATGGTTTCATCTCTAGTCCACGCACAGCACAATCGACTTCAACACATCCCGATATGGCTCTGCGCAATTAAGAATGGCGACAATACAAGTAGGGTTTACGAACATAATATAAAACATGGACCCTAATATAACCGTTAACAACTATGCCGTGCTGTTTGAAGTGGTTTTAGATGAAAAAACAAGAACTGCTCCCCTCAGTTGAGTCTGCCGTAAATTCCGCAATGCATTAGTTTGCATACAATCTCAATCAACGCAGCTCTAGCACAGATGAGCATAAAAAAAAAAAAAAAAAAAAAAAAAACCGCTTGAGCTGAATTATCTATTGGATGTTTTTTATATATACACAGGAAAAGTGGCGTTTGGGTTCCAAATGTCCATTATGAGCGCAGGAAGAGAAACAGAACGTGCCGTAAAACGGGGATGCCGGTTACGACCAACAGGTGGTACAACTGCAGAGTTCCTACTCCCGATTGTTCTTTATACGTTCCAGACGCTTTTTTAGGTCCCCCAGGTTAGCCGCGGGCGAGGCCGAGCGGGTGTGCGCATTGGACGGCGAGCGTGGCTGAGTGTTGTGTTCCTGCTGATAGAGCTCTCTGGACTCTTTGAGCTGCGACAGCTTGCTGTGGAGCATGTCTGTGGAGGAGGCTACCGACGGCTTGGATGACAGCAGCGAGGAGATGGGGGCTCGCTGTTGGGGCTCATCATCACCTCCACCGATGCTCTGCAACACATGGGCAAAGACGAGTATAACAGTCCAAACACTAAATTACAGGCCGGGGTTCCAGGAGGGTGCTTCCTGCATTGAAAACACATCATACACAAAATAAAGTGGTACCTGGGCTTACAAGTGCCTCAACTTAAAAACCTTTCAAGTTTAGAGCTGCCCCTAGAAGGGCAAAACGCAGGGTCAACATAACACATATCAGTATTTGTTTACTTTTTAAATTGCTATTGATTTGGTTTATTCATATTTTACTTTCTTACCAATTTATTTTCTTGTCCTTTAAAAATTACTTAAAGATTTCCTTTCACCAAAATCAATAGAGTTCATACCAACACATATTTCCACATGACATGGTACAAAATAAAATCCCTGAGACCTCAGGTTCGCCCAGTAAATCCCAAGACAATAACATAAGATAAAATAATTAAGATATTAGGGTAATGCATAAAAATTAAAACAAAGAATGACAATGCAAAAGACTTGAATTTCTGTAAACCACAATCAAAACAACTGCACAGGAAATTTTGGAGCAACTCCATAATGAATCAGAGCGTTCCCTTTAGCCAAGAGGGAAAAAATGGTGATGATTGATCACTTCATAGTCATGTAACAGTGTTACAAAATCAAGGTTTGAACGAGTGACAGTGCATGAAAAAAAAAAAACTCACCCTGGTGTTTTCTAGGCCTTGCCTCTGGCGTAAGATCTTGAGTCTCTCGTAGTAGACCGCCGGCTTTAGATCTTCATCATTACTGCTCAGACTGTTGTCAGCAGCATGCTGTGCAATCACTGCAGAATGACACTTACATTTGACATTGCTATTTGTCGACAAAGCTCAATAGCACTTTTTGTCCATTCCCTTACCTGCCGGGTTCTGAATGCGAGGTTTGCCCTCTCGCTCGGACTCGATCATCCGAAGCCCTCGCTCCACGTAACTCTGGAAGAATGGGGTTGTGCTTTTGAGGAAGGGCTCAAGGTCCACATCGGTACACTTTTGTTTGTACTCGTACAGCTCTGTCAAACCCTGGGGATATTCAGGTACAAATATTTCATGAAATCCTTCGAACGATGCTCCAAGATCTGAATATTTTACAAAACAAAGCCGAAGAACGCTCAAACGGACCTCTTTAGTGTTCTCCTTGGAGCCGATCTTCTTGAAGATTTCAGTGAGAATGTCATGGACCTTTGCCTTTGGCATCCCATCCTCCTGGGGACAAAATTTTTCTCAGTTGAGTTTTCAAACTTGAATGTCAACTTCTTTAACGTTATTTTACCTCCAACAATGCTGTGGTATTTTTTTAATTTCATTTTTAAAAACACAATGGCGAAGCTAAAGAAGTTGGGGTGGGAGTGGGGGGACACCACATACTCCAGGTTTTTTGTGGTTAGCTGCCCTCGCCCACCCACAAAAAAACAACCAACAAAGTTAAAAAGAAGGAATTAGTTTATCATAATTTTACATTCCAAAAACTTTACAGAAAAGGTAACATAAAATAACAGAACCGAACATAATATAAAACATGGACCCTAATATAACCGTTAACAACTATGCCGTGCTGTTTGAAGTGGTTTTAGATGAAAGAGGAGAGAATCAAATCCTCCTTCCACCATTGGATCAGACACGTCATGATCATGCATGATGCCACACATGTCAGCTACACGCTAAGTTTGAAAGTAAGCAAGCGCTGTTACAGCTGCAGCTGTTCTGAAAACGCCATACGAATAAAGATCCATTAAAACAAACAAACAAAACAACAAACCAGTAATAGTGTTTTGTTTTCCACCATTAATAAACCATGCTGGCAACAGAGCAGTTGTGGCAAACATTGGCTTGTTGACAGTGAATGCACCTTACGTACAGTTAATTATATGTAGCTTGCATGCTGAAAAACAACACGAGTTTTTACTTCACTACTTCTTCAATACAGTTTAAATTTAATTTTAAGCAGCAAAATTGTCAAAGCAACAACCGATACTGCCATTACTCTTTGAGCTGCGACAGCTTGCTGTGGAGCATGTCTGTGGAGGAGGCTACCGACGGCTTGGATGACAGCAGCGAGGAGATGGGGGCTCGCTGTTGGGGCTCATCATCACCTCCACCGATGCTCTGCAACACATGGGCAAAGACGAGTATAACAGTCCAAACACTAAATTACAGGCCGGGGTTCCAGGAGGGTGCTTCCTGCATTGAAAACACATCATACACAAAATAAAGTGGTACCTGGGCTTACAAGTGCCTCAACTTAAAAACCTTTCAAGTTTAGAGCTGCCCCTAGAAGGGCAAAACGCAGGGTCAACATAACACATATCAGTATTTGTTTACTTTTTAAATTGCTATTGATTTGGTTTATTCATATTTTACTTTCTTACCAATTTATTTTCTTGTCCTTTAAAAATTACTTAAAGATTTCCTTTCACCAAAATCAATAGAGTTCATACCAACACATATTTCCACATGACATGGTACAAAATAAAATCCCTGAGACCTCAGGTTCGCCCAGTAAATCCCAAGACAATAACATAAGATAAAATAATTAAGATATTAGGGTAATGCATAAAAATTAAAACAAAGAATGACAATGCAAAAGACTTGAATTTCTGTAAACCACAATCAAAACAACTGCACAGGAAATTTTGGAGCAACTCCATAATGAATCAGAGCGTTCCCTTTAGCCAAGAGGGAAAAAATGGTGATGATTGATCACTTCATAGTCATGTAACAGTGTTACAAAATCAAGGTTTGAACGAGTGACAGTGCATGAAAAAAAAAAAACTCACCCTGGTGTTTTCTAGGCCTTGCCTCTGGCGTAAGATCTTGAGTCTCTCGTAGTAGACCGCCGGCTTTAGATCTTCATCATTACTGCTCAGACTGTTGTCAGCAGCATGCTGTGCAATCACTGCAGAATGACACTTACATTTGACATTGCTATTTGTCGACAAAGCTCAATAGCACTTTTTGTCCATTCCCTTACCTGCCGGGTTCTGAATGCGAGGTTTGCCCTCTCGCTCGGACTCGATCATCCGAAGCCCTCGCTCCACGTAACTCTGGAAGAATGGGGTTGTGCTTTTGAGGAAGGGCTCAAGGTCCACATCGGTACACTTTTGTTTGTACTCGTACAGCTCTGTCAAACCCTGGGGATATTCAGGTACAAATATTTCATGAAATCCTTCGAACGATGCTCCAAGATCTGAATATTTTACAAAACAAAGCCGAAGAACGCTCAAACGGACCTCTTTAGTGTTCTCCTTGGAGCCGATCTTCTTGAAGATTTCAGTGAGAATGTCATGGACCTTTGCCTTTGGCATCCCATCCTCCTGGGGACAAAATTTTTCTCAGTTGAGTTTTCAAACTTGAATGTCAACTTCTTTAACGTTATTTTACCTCCAACAATGCTGTGGTATTTTTTTAATTTCATTTTTAAAAACACAATGGCGAAGCTAAAGAAGTTGGGGTGGGAGTGGGGGGACACCACATACTCCAGGTTTTTTGTGGTTAGCTGCCCTCGCCCACCCACAAAAAAACAACCAACAAAGTTAAAAAGAAGGAATTAGTTTATCATAATTTTACATTCCAAAAACTTTACAGAAAAGGTAACATAAAATAACAGAACCGAACATAATATAAAACATGGACCCTAATATAACCGTAACAACTATGCCTTGCTGTTTGAAGTGGTTTTAGATCACAGAGGAGAGAATCAAATCCTCCTTCCACCATTGGATCAGACACGTCATGATCATGCATGATGCCACACATGTCAGCTACACGCTAAGTTTGAAAGTAAGCAAGCGCTGTTACAGCTGCAGCTGTTCTGAAAACACCATATGAATAAAGATCCATTAAAACAAACAAAACGTCAAACCAGCAATAGTGTTTTTGTTTTCCAACATGAATAAACCCCTCTGGCAACAGAGCAGTTGTGGCAAACATTGGCTTGTTGACAGTGAATGCACCTTACGTACGTACAGTTAATTATATGTATCTTGCGTGCTGAAAAACAGCACGAGTTTTTACTTCACTATCACTTCAATACAGTTTAAATTTAATTTTAAGCGGCAAAATTGTCAAAGCAACAACCGATCCTGCCATGTTTGATGACGTGTATCCAACATCATGGGGCAAGTCGAAGAAGTAACACGCGCTGTCCTAATTCCGTAATTTTTGCACGCTCATAATCTGCACTCTTGAACAACACGTGGACTTCTTCTAAATGTACACTTCATTGAGGATTGTAGGGGGTAGTGTGGATATTAGGACAGGGCCAAATCTGCAGCCCCTATCCTCTCCAGCCTGCCAATCGTGCATTGTGCGTG